GCTTGTTTATTTGTGTTTCTTCAAGGCAAGGGTTGTTAGATTTTTCAGACAGGCTACATATTCAGAGCTCATAGGAAGAGTTCTCTTAAAAAGTACTTGAACTGCTAATGCCGTTCTCTTAAAGTGCTGAAATGTGAGAACAGGCAATGTGTCTGTCAAGTTAAAATGTAATAAGTAGTTGCTATTTGTTGGTTATGATCTCTGATGTCATCTTTACCGTTAATTAACTTTCTTTTTTCATCTTTTTTCCCTTTTTTTTTTCTTTTTCTTATATATCTTTTTACTGTGAAAGCTAATTTTAAAGTGAGCTTTTCACTTGTTTATAGCAGAAGATTATGGCTGAAATGCCATAATTTACTAGTGGATTATCAAATATGCTGCAGTATTTCTCTTGATTAGTGTAATAAAGTATAATAAAAGAGTAGGATAAAGATTTCATAGTGGAAAAAAACACTGATTAACTGACTCTGTAACAGTGATTCAGTGATTACTGTCACTTGATGTCTTGTTACGTTTTAATGTGATCATTATTCATAAGTCTAAAGCAAGGACTAGTTTTAAGTTGATTTACCTTCCTCACGCAGCACCTCTGAATTATTTGAGTTTTTACTTAGGGGGATTGCATTTGACCCCACATCTTTAAATTGCTGTAGTATTCATGCAAAGAAAGTACAGAAAATGAGCATTTTTGTACATGTATTTGTGGTAGAGTGACTTCTAAAAAGAGAACACCGTGTTCAGATTTGTTGACAAACTGGAGAAAGTCAGAAAAGATCTGTATAATAATTACTTAAGGTTTAAATTATATGTTTTATAATGAGAGATTAAAAGACTTTTGTCCACTTAGAAATAAGAAATATTTGAGAGCTAGGAAATATTTGTTGCTCAGTTGATAGGCATCTATAAATATGATAAAAAGTTTTCCATTAGTTGGTGACTCTTCAATTCAGTGGGAAAAATGTATTTTTTTCCCTGTTAAGCACATTACAAAATGAATTTTGTATTTACCATATTTCCTCCACTTTGTCTTCATTATAGGAGGAAAAATCTCACTGAAATAGGAGAAATACAGTCCAATTTAAATGAGAATAACCATTTAAAAGTCACTTTAGCATTTCCATTTCAAAACCAGGCTTTATTTCTATTTTTGTGTAGCCATTTTCTCTCATTTCGCTTGAGCTAGGTGTTACTTATTCTTGAAGATGTCAACAAAGGCAGTAACACCAGAGTTTTGATAATAAAAGCTCACACTGCCTGGTACTTTTCAGTATGTTAGGATCTTTTTCTGCAGTATGTAGAGAATGTTAATTTGATAAGCAATTTAAATTTTATTTCCTATTCTGTAGGACAGAGTGTTATTATAAAATCATTATTTCTGTTTGACAGTTGATTGACAGACTTGTATTTTAGTTAGAAAAATGATGTACTGCCCACTGCTTATGGTTTTGTTCATTTTAGTCTGCTTTGGAATGTGTGTTTGAATCAGTTACTTCTAATTATTTTTGTGTGTCTTTATGGTCAACATCTTTAAACTTAAGTCTTTATTTAAATTATTTAATTTTAAATAATTTTAAATTTACTTTTAAGTGAGCATTGCCACTGGAGTCTGAAAGGAAAAATACAATTCTGTAGTGCTCTTTAGCTATTTTTTATTTGTTTTTATAAGTTTCAAAACCAAATTTGAATTAAATTATCAGTCTTATTAAGCCTCAAAAAGGCATTTCACAAAGAAATAATTTTTGGATTTTCTCCTATCTTGTTTATTTTTTGACATGCTCTATATTAGAAATAAGAAAATTTCACTTCCATCAAATTACTGAACTCACATGTTCAAGAATATCGGGAGTGATCTCCATGTTTCTTTATTCCTATTATTTTTTCTACTCAGTTCTACTGCCTTCTCTCCCACCATCCTTCCCTCCCTCTTCTCTCACTCTCTTTCCCCCTCCTGCTTCTCTCTGTTGTTCCTACTTCTCTCCCTTCACATTTTATGAAGTTTAAAGAAAAATCAGGGGGGAAAAAAAGACAGAGAGAGATGTTCAGTGTTAGTTTTGGGGTTTTACAGGTCTCCATCAAATACTTGGAGTCTTTTCAATTTTTAGATTAATGTACACAAGAGGGGTCAAGCAGAAGAAAATCAAGTACAAGTTGCTGTTACTGTCTCTTACTTGTCGCTTAACTGCTGATAAATAAGATCTATGTTACAAGGACTAATCAAATGCTTCAGCCCTCTGTAAATTTTAGAAGAACCAAACTGCAATTTAAAGTGTTTTTTTTTTTCAAGTTGTATTTCTCTTTCAAGAGTTGTTTTTTCTGTGCCAGTGAGACCAAGTCATTATTAATAAAAGGGAATATAATTTTTGCAAATCACTCCTAGAGTGAGTTGAAATCAAAATTCTTTTGGTTTTTAACTTTTTGTCCATTTGGACATTCTAGATTTATACATGGGTTTAGGTATAATTTCCTGTGTGGTCTTGGAGAGATCATTTAATTTTATCTGGTCCTTATTGCAGAAATAATTGTAGCATCTGGTTCATTTAAGATTAGGGTTAAGTCACATTTGGCAGCAAATCATGTGCATATCTGTTCCTAAGGACATGTTTAAAGCACTTTCTGGAAAGTGTTTTATTCAGTAATAGAGGTGATTGTGTCTTTTCTTCTCTTATGTCTGAGTTAACGGTTCAGCTTACAAATTTTTAAGTTCGGAAACTACCTCTTATTATTTGTACGGTAGACTTTTTGACTGTTGGTACCTCCCGGTGCTACTGTATAACAGAGGATAAGAAATAGTGCTATATTATTGCATTTATCACAGACTATATGCATTTCCTTTTTACTTTTTAAAATTTGCTATTAGCAGAGTGACCAGATCCCATCAGAAATGAATTTAACAAGACCTCCAGGAAAAGATTCCTCCAGAGATGTTACAACTGCATTTCAATCGCAGCAAAAATCTGAGGTCTGAGTCATGCTAAAGTCTTTAAAATTACAAGTAAGGGGCAAAATTTTATTAATGCCATGTTTTGTCCTTTTGAGAAAAAAAAGGCAAAACCAAATAATTATTAATTCCATAATTTATGGCTTGATAATGGCAGTTAATTACATGGTAGGAAAATTGTGTGTAGCTAAATTTGGGATTCCTTGCTTATGTACGTTGGTTAAAAACAATGCAGATGTTCTTTAATTTTAAGTAGTTGACTGTTCTTCTGTCTAGGGTGGAACATATCATGATCCACACACAGAAGATGGAGCATCTACTAAAGAAAATAGAATTCTCTATAATGACCCTGTTCCAAGAAGAGTTGGCAGCTTTTACAGAGGTAACTTTATGATGGATTTTTCAAAATTAAACAAGAGTTTTAGCATATAATATAACTAAAACAGTAGAAATGGGTACTGCGAAGTAACACAAACAAATAAGAAAATTTATAGGAAAAAAGAGAGAGAGAGAGAGAGACTGAGTTGGCCTGCTAGGTAACAGCTATATTAGTGTCATTATATTATTATTTTGCAATGATAACTCACTTTGATTGAAAAGTTTATCTATCTAGTACAGTACCTTGTAAAACACAGGGTAGTTTTATCAGAGGGTTAACGAAAATAAATGAAAAACGCCAAAGTAAACAGTTTATCAGTTTCTAAGCATCAATTCCTATCTTAAATTCTTATTAACATTATATCTAAACACCTTTGCTCTGTAGCAAATTACCACACTTATTGATCTATTTGAGTTAATATGGTAGGTACATGGAAATGCAGTTCTTGCTTTTAACCAGTAGAGTCCTATATTTATAGCCTTGTTCAGATTTATTAAAAATCAGAATTTTATACTAGAGTAAAACACATTTATGTAATTCTAGTTAAGAATAAATAATAGAACAGGAGTGGGTTCTGTAAAAATAGAGACACAAACACGTACACAGTTCTGTGCTAAATGAAAGATGGCGGTTTGTACACAAAAGATGGTGATTTCTGAGCAGCTGCCTCTTGTTTAAATCTGGGTAATCCTTTTGAAAAGGAGGAGGATAAGAAGCTAATCACTGTCCTGCAAGTCTTAGGAGGCTTATGAGACTCTACTGATCATTAAGAACTCCCAATCAGCTACAATTTGATTATGAGTCACCTAATAACCTTAAATAGAGTCATCAGTCTCCCACTGATCCTCTTTGGCTTCATCAGTTGGCTGATGACCTGATTTAGTCATGTTAAAATCTGCCAATCCTTGTAAGTATCCCCTAGCAATATTAAAACTTGTTAGACATATTAAAGCATGTACTGTGATGGGCAGTGCTTTGAGGGCACTAAGGGTTTGGAGCACATGGAACAGAGAATCCTCAACCCTTAATTGCTTTTATTAACCCTGGAAATATTCCTATAATTTAGACATGGGTTATCTAGTTGCACTAAAGTCCATATTGTTTTTTGGGGGGCCAAGTGTTTCCAAAGGCCTAAGTGCAGATAAACTGCAAACTGTAGTAATTAATGTCTTTAATAACAGTATTGAAACCTCTTTTTCCACTTCCTGTTTTTAAATATCTTTTGCACTAGCAGCTCTCTGTAGATAGATACAGTCTCAAAATCCAAGAATGTCTTACCCAAGTTCTGAAGATAGTATACTGTAATAACCTTAGCTTGACAATGTCACACAAAAGCTAGATTTCCAACCTGTGAAAATGTACAGTTGTGTTTTCTGTACAACTAGAAGAAAGCCATGTCTTCCATGTTCTGTAAAAATAAAGAGGCAACAGACAGCTGAAAGCTGTGACGTTTGATGGAGTTCAGTATACATTGTTTGCTGTTTCTCTGTTCAGTTCCATCTCCGCGTCCAGAGAGTACATACCTAGAAAACAATGTGTCAAACAGAGCCCCTGTGTTACCAGCAGACAGCAGCACGGTGGCAAACCACTCAAAGAGACAAACCACCTTTGATACCTGGTGAGTTGTTATTTACACGGATGTGTAGGAAGGTAGCAGGAAAAAAGGGATCATTGAGAGGAAGAAAACCAAGTTTATCCCATAGGCTGTTAATTTTGAAAGGAGTATTTCATAACTCTTTTTTTGAAATCTGTAATTGTCTTTACCTGCTTAATTGCTCCCTGTGAGTATACTGAAATAGCGTTGCATGATTTCTGTCCCTTTTTCAGGGACAAGAAATACTTCATTGCACTAACACAACAAATGCATTAAAATTATATGCTTTGGTCTGGTCTTTCCTGTTTTTTTTTTCCATTATCTATCTTTGGTTAAAGATAATAGAAAATACCTGTGTGTATATAGTGTGGATAGCAAGGCTGTAAGCTTCATCTGTGGATTCCAGAAGCCTGAAGTGTCAGACAAATGGAAAAAAAAGTCAAACTGCATGTTTTCATATATGAAATAGGATTGTGTAAATGAAGAATAGAATATTCTCTCCCTACAGTGGGCACTGCTACTCTCATTTTGCTCGTGCACCCCAGAAGGAAATGAGTGCATTCTATGGGATAATGGACTAAACAATATCTTAATGATGTATATTCATTTTAAAAGATGAAAAGCACCACATGGCTTCATTATATAATGTAAAACAATTAACTATAATTATGCTAATAGAATGACAGCATATATATAGTTTTGCAGGACTTAAAGGGAAATACCTTAATTTTGTTGCTATGAGAACTATTCGGTGCTAAAATACCCTTTCACTTCTGCTTTGTTCAATTACAATAAAGCCCACTCAATAAAAATAAGTAAATGGAATTTTAAAGGACTGGTGGGAGGAAGGGACTGTACATGTTCTCATGAGACAACTCTGCTTCATACCATTGTGAAACACTGCTCTCTGAAAACATCGTAGGACCATGCTATCAAAAGAATGGTTTGTTAACTTAATGTATTTTCACATGAACCACCTGTGAGGTACCTACCTTATTAAAAAAAAAAAAAAAAAAAAAGTGGGGGGAGATGGGAAAGAACACCTAAAAACCTGTAATTCAGCTTGTATTCCCGTGTCAGTAGTAGAAGGTGTTTATTCCAAAGCACTGTTGCCTCCTGACTTAGTGGACTTCACTTTGTATCCTTCACCTTCTTCTATTTTCACGGCAGTTACTTTGAGGATCTGGTCCTTTATGTAAAAAGATGGTACTTAATTATATGACTTACTTTTGTGTAACTGAAGAAGGTGCTGTTTCCACTTTTGAACCCTTTTACGTATTTCGTTGTCCTTCGTACCTGCACCTCATTATCTTGCGTAGAATGTAGCCATCTGGAACGTGGCTTTGCTTTCTCTATAATTCAGCAATGTAATTGCTGCTGTTACGCGGTCGCTACGAAGAGCCATGCTGTGTTATACTAACCCAGAACTGCACTAGTACATATGTAATTAGAGCTGGTTGGGAATTTTTTGACTAAGTATATTCTGACTTAGAATTTCAGACTACCAAAACCAAAACATTTCAAAGCAACAGACTGATATTATAAACTAACCTTTTATTGGAAGGTGGTTCTGCTCCAGGATGGAATTGTCAGTCAAAGCGAGAGAGGTATTCACCTTGCAATAACAAGTATTCTTGGTTCAGTACTATTTCTGAGAACATGAAGGACTCGGGTTCAGGGCTTTTCTTCCTTATTATAGAAACCAGAGACATGAACCAAGATCTTAGATCTAAGCAGTGAATGCCCTGAATGAAAAGTGGCAGGTTCTTCTGAAGCATATTCTCCGTTTCCTTCAATATCTTCTCTTGAAGCTGTTTCATCTTGTTGAAATGATGGAAGGACCTCAGAAATGCTGAGCATAGTCTAGCAGTTAGGGCCCTCAATTAACTTTGAGACAATTATATTAAGTCCTTGCTCTAGTTAATATACTTAAATATTTCCACAAAGTGGAACAGCTCCTTTGAGAGAAAGAAGGAAAAAAAAAAAACAATAATAAGCACTTTTCTTGTGAAATGAATGAATGGTAGTGCCCTCAGCATCAAGCTATCTGCTTTTTTGGCATGCATTTCTTTCTCTTTGCTTTTCCTAGTCCCTATTATCCTGAAATGTTTCCTGCCCAGCTCTACATGTTACTCTGTGCAAGTTGTCCTGGCAATGGTCTAATGTTGCAAAATTGTTCTGTGCCATATATGCAGCTTAATCAGATTCTTCAGTGATGTAGAGTCTGTTTCTCTAATTAATTTTCTGTATAGAAGTTGTGTAAATGCCTATGAAAATGTTGAAAGCTCTAATGGAATGTGATTCCGCTTGCATCAATTTTATGATGAAGTAAATATTTAATGTTCTGCTGGCATACATAGCTGGGATGTGACAATTCGTCTAAAACTGAGTGACGTATTCCACCTTGACTTGCCACTACTGTAAAATATTGCTTCTATCATACTATTGCTCTGTGTTGCCTTTCTTCTGTCAGAGGTTTTGTGAATGTTTTGTTAGGCTGAATTGTCACAGATGCTCCTTTGTCTTTGTGTGCATATCTTCACTCTGTCCTCGCTGTCCTGCCTCTATAAAATAAAGATGTTATACTGCTAAACTTGACTTTTGTCATCAGGATTTACTTTTGAATTCCTAGAACTTTTCTGAGCTTTAGACAACTTGATTTGAACACAGGCAAGTTGTTCAGCTTTCCAGAAAATCTTCAGTTTGCCTCAGTTTAATTTCCTCTAAATTACCTTGAACTTCTCTCTCATTTTTTTCTCCTTTAGGTGCAATAATAGGTATTTTATTCCGTTTCTCTTGTATGACTTTTGTCCTAATAGGCGAGATACTTTACCTCGCTCTGCTAGCATGCCATAATGTGAACTGTAATTACACTTACCAGCGTTACAGTTCCAAGTATCTCTTTGCAATGAACTCTTAAGTTACAGTACTTTATCTCATATCATATTGCAAGTGGTTGCATTGAGCACATAAAGGTATTTGGGGGGTTTGGGAAACTTCTGTTTGAGGGTTGGAACTTCAATGTCCAATTAGATCTATTCATTCTATGAGAACCAGCTGGTCATGCCTTCTCCAGCATATACAGCAAGTTCCTGCAGAAAGAATATATATTTATATCTGCAACCCATATCTTTATGTTTCTTTTTACTTTTATAGAAACATATAAATATATATACACACACCCACCCACACACACAGATATGCACACATATATTAACATAAACACACTTTCTTTATTTTTTCACTCAAAAAAATGAAGAAAAAAATCCCATACTCTTTGGCATGTCAAAGGCTTGCTGTTAGCTATCTCCCATTAGTTTTCAACACCCCAGAGCAATACAGGATGTTATAGAAATGAGCTAACTGTCCTTAATCTCGCTGTTTCGGTATTAGAGTAGCAATGTAGACATGGCAAGAGTTTGTCTGAGGAGCCAAGTAACTAGTTCACACTGATGTCCATGAGGGTTATCAATGCCTAAGCAAGCTAGTTTAAAGCTTGCTCAGCTGTATCTGCAATATGGCCTGTTTCTGCATTTTAAATACTCTTCAGTTCCATTACAGATTCTGAAATTTTTCGAAAATAATCAAGGAATTTCAAAATTCACAACTTGCAAACTTAAAAGTTAAGTAGGGATGAGGTGTTAAAAAGTCTGCTCTGCATCACTGGAAAACGTGTCACTTCCTAATGGTATAGCTTTCTTGATGACATTCCCTGCATAAGACTCTAGCACAGTATTGTCACCTACTGGGTTTGCTTTTTTCTTTTTCAGCTATTTGGCAGCATCTGAACTTTCCTATTGCTGAATGCAACCTCCATTCTAGGAACTAGGATTTTTACCCTCCGCTTTTCCCAGTCATCAGTGTTTTTTAGTCAAAATTTGATGATGTAACCTGATGTTATTTGCAAGGAAATTTTCCAGATTTGTAGTCATTGATGTTCTGCCTGAGAAATACCTTAACCTGGTGAAGTATATTCTTTACAAGTTTATGCAACCAGCCACTTCCAAATTGTTACGGTTACTAGTATTGCATAATACATATACATGTGTGTGTATGTATATATGTGTAACCTTAGGTGTTATATTTGCAGGTGGAATAGTGGTTACAGCAGCTGCTGGGTAGCTTGTTGGATGGCACATGTAGGTTTTATTGCAGTTAATAAATCGCTATTTTTCACCTGAAAAAAAAAATACAGTTTTAGCAAATTCAGGTTTGACCTCTGAATTTTAGCTTTCATGGCCAAATTTTAGGCCAAGAAATTTTACTATAAACTTTAGCATTTGGGATTGAAATTCTTATGTTAAGTAAACTGCATATTTGAGGAGCTAGTTTCTGACTTCTTCCATTTATGGTAATGCTAATTACTGATGGTTTTATTTTAAGCAAAGCCAAAAGTTAACTTTGAGAGTTAATAGCTCTTCATGTACCTTGCAAAGAAAATTTCAGACATTTAAATAGTTCTTCCTTGAGAGCGAGATCTTACTCATGTAATTGTGAGCTGCTCTGTAAAGAGAGTAGTAAATTGGCAGTTAAAGAAGATTTATAAAGCAGGCTGCCTGATGAGATTAGCGTAACAGAAATAGGCATGAGGAAATACCTCCAAAAAGGAGCAGAATGCAAGATAAGTCTGTGTATGGCAGTATGATTGCAGTATGCTTCCTATTTCATTTTTCAATATTAAGGCACATTAATTTGCTCCCCTCAGGCCTGTTTGCTCCTCCTCCTCCTTGTACCTGCATGAAAATGAATATCTTTCTTCCTCAGTGACAGTGAGTGCCAGTGATAGCTACAGAATTTCTGTTTACGTACATGAGACACCCAAGTGTCTCCGAGAATAACCAAAGTGACCCATAGTATGTGTTCTAACTGGGCAAAAGGAACAAAGTGATAAAATGATGGGAAAGGGGGACGTTTTGCCTTTGCATGAGGGTGAGCACTCAGGGTCAGGAGTCTTTTCTGCATCTTTTACCACTGGAGACTTCTCTGCTAGTGGAAGACACTGCGATTCCTCTGTAACTGCCTGCCTCCAAGAGCTGAGGCTTTACGCAGAATAACAACACTTGCAGTTACATTGAAAGAATGGGCAGTGTTGAGGGACTGTACAATCCCATTTCTTCTGATAATCCTGTTTTTTCCTATACTGTCCATTGTCTGAAATTCTTTGGGAATGCCTAAAATATCCCGGTGTTTCATATCCTTGATCAAAATGTTCTGCTCTATTTTTACTCAGTGCAAAATCCTTGTGTTGAGCTTCCTGCTGTAATGCTATATATGTTCACTCTCTTCACGTAATGAGCATGTTTGGAAGCAGTTGCTTTTCAAGGTCAATGCTTTTTCAGACAACACTGCTGCAATATGAGTCATAGGAGCTAGTGACATCAACCAGTCTGTGCAAAACCACTGGCTCATGGGAAAGCAGCATGGGAAAATGAGCAGAGTCCTCTGCCCGTTATTTTCCTCATCCAGGTTCATTGGGCCAAAGAAAAAGGATTACCCTTGAGTGAATATCTATCGAGATAAAGCGTGGCCACAATACTCCCAAGTTTTATGCAGAAGATAAAATTCATCCCGTTTAATGGCGTCACCATTTTGCAATGGTCTTTGGAGCAGAAAAGTTACAGGAAGAGATGGGAAAGTTCCCAAGGACAGTGCAGAGGAACCACGATGGGACCTTCGTTTGGCCTGAGCGACCGGTGCCTCACGCGCGGCAGTAGCCCTGGGTGGGCAGTTTGCCTGAGGGCCCTCGTTCGGGCCGTGTTTGTTGCCCTGGCTCTTGGGTTGGGTTTTGGGGCTGGCACAGAGCCAGCTGTGGATGCCCAGTGACTCCTTGGGAACAAGGCTGGGGTGATTCTTGGGATCCCGGCCCCCCTTGAATTATTAAGGAGCATGAGACTCCTAAAAACAAAAGTCACTTAATTCATTCAGGAACTGTTGTGTCCTAAGTCAGCCTTGTTAAATGCCAGAAAGCTGCAAACCTGGCAAGAGTCTTTCCTCTTGGGCTCTTCCTGTGGGGCTGTAAGTGAGGAGTACAGGGCTGCCGTATTGCCCTTATACAATGGTGCCAAATACAGGGGCCTGAAGGAAATGGGAATCCTTTGCAATCCTATAGCTACATCTAGCATTGTCATATTTATAGTAAAATCTGTATCGCTGAACATTTGAATAGCTTTTTGAATCTGGCTTTATTTTCCAAAAATCAAAATCAGAAAAAATCCACCAGCCTCTCTGCCTGCAAGTCTAATCATTCTGTTATTCAGCAGCTGATCAAACCACAGCTCAGAGATACTCTTACCAATAAGGAACATTAGTGTAGCGATTCCTACCCCAATTATGTGTTTCACGTTTGCTTGGAAAAAAAATGTCAGCTGGGCATGCAGCAGCTGCCGACTCACCGGTTGATAGCACAGCTCTTGAAGCCAGGATTAGAACCCAAAGACAACTATAGGAGACGGCTATGAGTTGTTACATGGCAGCTCCTCCGAAGAAAGCTGCTGCTTTTTGTCATCCAGAGCACTTAGAACGGGGACTGTCCCTTAGGTTTTCCAGCCAGCCACTGGGATAATTTCATTTTTGTATTCATACGACTTCAGGCTAAATGGACAGATCACCCAGTGTGACTTCTTGTAAGTTAGTTGCTATTAAATGTCATCCATTCGCTGAGAGACAAACACAGTAGCACGTCTGACTAGTGTGCATCCCCCAGAAGGGTGTCTGGGCTTGCTTTGAAAAGTCAGAGTTGAGAAGTCCACTCTTTTTTCCAAGAAGTTTGTTCTGGTGATTAACAGCCTCACTGTTTTAGTCAGTGATCTGTTTCTAACAAATTTCTCTGACTACATCGTCCACCTACTTGTTCTTCTTACGTCTTTTCCCTTTAAAGATTCTTCTTATACTCAGTATTTTCTCCCTGGAAAAGTATCCATGCACAGAAGTCAAGGAAACTCTAAATGTTGGAGCTTGTTCACTTGTTTTCTAATGTACTAGAGAGACTGAAATCTCTGTTACTGCAAGCCATTATTTATATCTTTGAGTTTCTTTCTGTAAAATTTCCCCACACCATTTCCAATTTTCCAAATGCATTGGAGGGTGCTAGCACTGCATTCAGTGAAGATCTCACCAATGAGTTGCAACAATCTTTTTATCCCGTATCAGTACTTTACCTTCATTATTTGGTGTATATACTTTAAAGTAGCACTCTACTTACTACTGCAGATAATTCAGTTTTACCTGACTTGAAAAGTAGAAATAAAAAGATTAGTCTTTGCAAGTCTCCCACTTTTGGGTCTGCTTCTTTGGCAGCCCTGCCTCATAACAAATGTTCACTCAAGGTGTGAAGTTGAAATGGACAACAGTAGATCCCCAGGCTTCACAGATGATAAATTTGGAACCATGTCAGCAAAGGTCAGGAATTTTGATTGAAATCAGTTCTGTCTGACAGACTTCTTTGTAACTCCTGGTTCTTCAGCAAGCAATGGATGAACTGGATCTGTGCTTTTATACCTCATCATCGTTTGTATATTCTCTCCGATATTATTTTAATTTCTTAAGGTATCTTATGTGTGATATTTTGGTTTTAATATTAACTTTTGTTTTTTAAAAAAAGACATGCATGCTTACCTTTTCCCTAACTACTCACTATGGTTTGAGCTAGTCATTTTTCCCTAACACTGTGTTCTTCCTGTCCCGTTTAACAAGACTGTCCTTTATTTGTACAGTAACTCTTGAACCAATGAATGCTAAAGCATTAGAATCTTTTCATTTCAATCCAATCAATAATTTGCATTCTTTGCCATAGGATCTTGTTTTTACATAAAATTTACAAAACATGTAAATTAAATCTCTCTTACAATACCTTATTTCATGTTTAGGAAAAGTCCTGAAAATCTTAACAGTCACTCTGAACAGCTCAAGGAGAAAGAAAAGCAAGGTTTTTTCAGGGCAATAAAAAAGAAAAAGAAGAAATCTCAAACTGTAAGTATATAATATTTCTATAAGAAAATACATAATTAGCAGACTTGAATCATGTCATGTTAATATGCTAGATCAGTGGAGTACCTTTATATTATTTGTGGTCACACCTACATGTATCTATCTGATCTTTTTATTTCTGTTTTCAGTATATGAAAATCAATTTATTTCCTCATTCAGTGTTTATTTAACTTCCTTTTCAAATATTAATTTGCATACTAGATATATTTCTATGTGTGTTTAGTGGGGTTTTTTATTTTTTGTTTTTTTTTTTTAATTAGACACTTTTGGAACCAGTTTTGGTATGAGCTTTAAGCATACGTAGCAAATTCTTTCACAGTATATGGTGATGACATTCTAAGAAAAGAAATAAATTATTGTGTGCCATCAAAGCTTGAATAATTTCTGAGACACCAATTAGAAGGAGATAAAACTGTTAGAAGTGAGAATTCCTTCCAGTCTTTTTCATGGCCTTCAAGGTGGTGCCTCCATCTTCTTGCCATTTACTGTGCCTGGAATAAAGCACAGTACCCTGACCATTCCTAATGCTCTGCACACTGGGGATATAAACAGTGGCTTTTGTTACGTAGTATAGACCTTTTTCTTTTGTGCATTTTTACATTTTCTTCTAGTTGTCAGGAAGCAGAAAGAACTTTCCTTTGTCAGAGGATAATGGTTTGGTAACTCTTCACAAAGTTTTAAAATGAAAATTCACCTAAGAAGTGAACAAATCTAAGGTTCCTGTCGACCTGTTCTTGGATGGCCATTGTGAAAATGTTTAGTTTTAAAGTTATGTTTGCCTCTCTGTTTTACAACGTTTTAAAACTGCAGGTATTTTATCTTAAGTTATGCATAGTACAAGTGTGGTCTTGCAATTCTCAGGCCATTAGGAGCAGAACTTCAGAATTAAAAAAAGATTTACTAATATACTAGCATGTTACTAAACATCATGTGCAAAAATAGTGTCAGAAATCTTTGTCTTTTTATGTTACCTGTTTTTTTCGGTGGGCTGCTTATACCAGCCATTTTATTTTCATTCTTAAGATAGGTTTTTCACTTTAAAAAGTGACATTATTATTAACCTGTTAATAATTCTTATTTTTACTGATATTGGGTGAGATATTCTTTGTGTCTGAATAATAGGATAAATTTCAGACTTGAGCTGGAATCGGAAAATCAGATGGTGCTGTTATGTCACAGAGCAATCATCATGCCCAATGGTAACATGGGCACCACTTTTCGAAGGAGCTTATTTAATTTCACATGTTTTGCGTTATTTTGGGCTATGTTTGTTTTGCTTAAGTCCTGAATGTTTTATAAAAAAAAATGTTGCAATGCTTCTGTAAGTGAAATTTGAGTTACAATTGTCAAGGTTCTCAGAATGGTGTAAATCGTGCTCACTTGCTCACTCTTATTGGCGTTAGAAGTTGTTAATGGTACCACGGGGCAAATTAAAATATATCCTGTCATAAGGTGAGGTGGCATGACTCTGGCTTTCAGCAGAGTTGAAAACTGAGGGAGAGGAGCACTTTTCTTTTTTAAAAAAATTCTCTTTAAAATGCATGGACCATGTTCACGTGTGTTTTAACTAGTGCGTGCGCGCGCACACACACACACACACACACACACACAAAATGTACCTTGCCTTCCTTCTGGCCAGGTGTTAAGGCTTGTACCACTTCTTATTTCATAGACACTCTCTTTAAATGAGAGCAGAAGGACTTCTACCCCCAGAATCACGTCAGACTTTTTTGCAATCCCTCCCTATCCTATTGTGTGGTTGTGTGTGATGTATATATATGAATCTGTGGGCAGTAGTGCACAAAATTCCTGTTAAATAACACCTTTTCATTGGCCTGTACCTTTGCTGAATTATTCTTATTTCACATTAATGTAAATAGATGCAAAACTAGGGGAGATGAGATTTTAAGCTTTGTAGGCTTAAACTATTGCATCTGAAAGAAGGAGGTTTTTAGGCAGTTCTACCACTGTGTGGGCTCAGATGGCATTACATTGAAAATATTCTCCACTGAACATTGGTGCAGCAGATTATTTGGCTCTGCCATCGACATATACCGTGTAAATGACTGCAGCTGGGTGCAGCGTACATTTTCATGGCTCATGGTGCAAGTTTTTGCAAAGGATCTTCATCCCAAATGCCCCCAGTTCTCTCTCTGTTATGCTTATCTTCAGGTTCAGCTGTTAGCTAAGTTTGCACCACAGTGCCCTTCTGTTTCTGTAGTTTGTATGTTAGTTCTATTTTGAGAGCAAATAGATAAACTTTATAAAATCTTGTACATACAATGATAGTGTGGGTTAATGATTAAATATGTGCTGATGTGCACTCCCAAACTGCTGCATGAGACTTGTGCCCAGTTACAGTATGACCATTTGTATTAGACAACTGAAGAAAATACCTACATTTAAACTCTGGTCTTTTTTTTCTATCAAAATGTCCTTGTAAGGAAAGTATACCTAATACCATTGGTTGCAGTGATGCATTTTCCCAAATAATCTTCAATTCTCATTGCTCTGGTCTGCATAAATTCAAAATGTTTAGGTGTGGTGGTAGAGACCACTTTTAAATCCTGGCTGATAGTGTATCAACTACTACTAGCTTGAACTATGTGGAGGAAATACAGACTGGATTGGGTTGCATCTTAACATCCAAAGTATTCCAAAAATTCTAAGTGGGAAGTGACTTGAATTGTAACTACCAAAAATATCATTGGTGACAGGACAGGATGGACTTATACACCATTCTTACTCCTCTTTGGGGTGTTTTACTTGTTTGTTTGGGGTTTTGTTTGCGTGTTTCTTTCTTTTTATTTTTTTTCTTTTTTTCCTCTTTTAAGATTAGAGCAAAATATATTTTTCATAAGGGGAAATTAAGTTGGGTGGTTAGAGCTAGTATCTCACAGGAAGAGGTAAAATTCCTGCATTCTGAGTTAGACACTTGCTGACACCAACTGGATCTTTGGATCCCACCAGAGATAGCAAAATGTTTTTTGGTTTCTGCTTACTTGTCCTGTTTAATGGAACAGTATTTCAGGGTGGACTGCGTACATCCATGTAAATCACAGGTGCCTAGTTTAGACACTGAGCTTTGTTCTTTACCACGTGTCTGTTAGTTGAGAAGGTCTACCCGAAAGCTTTGGGATGTTCATTAGGATCTTCCAGCACAGACAAGAAGTTTACCTTAAGTTCTGCACAAAATTTGCTTTCAATAGTAAAGGCTTTAAACACCACGTAGTAGTATGGTTTTCAACCACAGGAAGAATGTTTTTTACAAATTCACCTTAAAAATGCTATTGTATATAGCTTGTGATTCTCCAAGTTTTTATTTTGAGGCTCCCAGAAGTATGCTGGTATGGATACTTCAGTGCAGGCCAGACTTTCTTCAGCAAAAAGTTTAAGAGGGGGACAGTATCGCACCTGCTAGCTACCATTTACTTTTAATATCCTTTGGCAAGTCTCATTTAGCCAGCGCTCACCAAAACAGTCATAAAGGATATCTTGAATTGGATTGAAGATCCCTTCTTAATGGTGTCAGTCCCTCAATCTCTGACAGTCCGGAGCTGGCTTCAGCTCTGGACGGTACCTCTGGCAGAGTTGTTTCCATTAGTCATTCTCCCCTGTGCTCTCCACCTGTAGTGCTGCACTGGGTGACAACCCTGCCTGCCCGCTGGAGGAATTCTTTGCAGTGCTGTTTGGGCAAAGTTAGTCCTGCTCCTTCTCCTTTTTATCTTGCTTGGAGTCTTTCTGTGATGTAGCAAAAGGTTTTGAAGGCTGTTAGAGTCACAGCTGTGTAACCTGGCATCAAACATTTTGATACCCAGGAAGGTTGTGTGCAGGGTCAATACGCACAGAGAAGCACAAGTTCTTTCTATTCACCAGAGAATTTTTTTAGCATGTATTCCAAGCTCTGGCTCCGAAGAAACAATCCCTTTGGAAAAATCCCGTTACAGGTGAGCACTCCTCCGAGTCATGCTTTGCTTTCCATTTTGGTTTGCCGAACCTCAAATGGGAGAGTCTTCTGATCATGGGATTTCTAAAGAGGCTATGTTAATTAGTGACCCAGTCCTTACGTAGTTTGGATGCTCTAAGTGAAACCTAGAAGCTGAGAAAACCCTCACTGTTACTAGTGCTTCTATCATTCTGGTTAGGCATACATAGTATTATAAAGAGGATTTTTTTGGTAGACAGAATAGTGTTAGACAGCACTTGTACATGAAAAGAGGAGGAATAGTCCCCTCTCAAGTTTTAATACTTGAGAATTCCATTGGTTTTCCATGTGTCCATTGGTATGCCCTGTGTTTGTGCTACAGAGGTGAAACTAAAACACAGTGCTAAAGCTCAGTAGAGTCACACAGTTGAATCACCTGATGTTTTCAAAAGGCTTTGAAATGTACTTGGCCTTCCTAGTGGATCATGGATATAAGAACAGGGGCACTGATCTCTCTTTACATTCTTTATATGCATTGAGTTCCTTGAATTTGTCCCATATACTTCATTCTGAACATCAATCAACATTTTATTTTCTTCAAGCAAATTATAGGATGAATACCATGTATTTTTGGTATTAAAAAAATACATTATGAATATAGTAAGGACAGATCTCTTGAACTAAAATACTATGCATTTAGTTTTTGTATCTTATATTACAGACAGACTCAACCAACGGGGAGAATCCAAGCATCAAGAAATCCCTCTTTCCTCTTTTTAATTCAAAGAATAATTTAAAGCATAGTTCCTCTTTGAAAAAGCTTCCTGTAGTCACTCTACCCATGGTATTAATTTTTAAGTACAGTAGCACTGTAAAATGCTCCAGTAAATTTGTTTTACTGACTACAGCAGCATGTATTTTATTTTTATGGGTTCACTTTCTCTTCATGCCAGTTAAGTACCTGGGCCAATTCGATAAATTCTAGTACAATTGGCAGTTTGTTGGAATAGATTGTCTTTTTCAAAACATGTTTATCTTAGTCTGATATACTGAAATACACAGTTCTAGGTAGAATGAGATAAAAGAAAAATAGTTGCAAATTCACACAAATTTTAAATTGGACTATCTCTTTTTGTTTCAATCAGGAAAAGTTAACCCAATTTATTTTATAGCTATTTTGGAGATGCACCTTAGATGCAAGCTGATTCTTTATATTGGAATTGAATTTAAAAAGTACTGTAACAACAGATCCTCTCAGAAAAAGTTTTCATTTCGTGCTTCTGCTGCATTTTTATTTCTCCTGATTGTTCACAATAACCTTTTTTTTAAGCAAGCTGTCTTTAAAATTCTAGCTGTCCAATTTTTTGCATAAAATTCATGGAATAATATGAAACACTTTACATATACATTTGCATATAATCTCTCTGCTCTAAGTTTTGTTAAAGTTGCTGTTTGTTTTTCATTTTTCAAGGAGTTTTCAATTTTTACTATAGCTTGAAATATTTCAAAAGAATAAAGATGGGAAAAGGAAAGGTTCTTTTTCTTGTCATGGCAAAATGATTCAGATATCCGTTTAGAGATCTTCTTCATGCGGGATCGAATTTATAGAACTGATCCATGGTCTTAACTGCAATATGGAATGCTTTTTAAGTGAAGATGAGGCGCAACTATTTTCTTTTTTCTGTTTTTTTCTTTTTTCTTTTTTTTTGAAGCCTTGTTTAACTGCTCTTTCTTACAGCAAATAACACTAACAGCATGTGAATGCTTTAAGGGCTAAGGGTATAGCAAATCTGCATGATATCCACAGCCACTCATTATTTACTATGGGGAAAAGTATTGAAAGCGCATTACGATTCTGCTGCAGTAATGGAATTCACTTGCTTTATGTAATTAACTGGGGGAAACAGCTTACAGCTATTTTTAAGCATATATTAAGAAATCACTAATTAATACTTTCTTGCAGATGCCTAGTAGTGATGGTCAGGATCTTTTGGCATTGCAGAAAGCCATTCACACTTCTAATCACCAGAGCAGCAGGCAGAAGGATTGGCATCCCGAGAAGATGACAGAAATCCAGCCTCATGTAAGTGCCATTATCAGTTCCCTATATTCTGAGATCATCCATGTGTCTTGACAGCTTTTTCTCTGGTGAATAGAAAAATTGCATTTGGCATTATTTCCCAGCCTCCCCATTCCTTGCTCACTGAATGTAAAAAGGCACGTGCCTTCCATCCTGCATAATTCTTTGATAATCTAGACATGAATGACAGGAAAAAGAAGGGAGACAGCAAGTCCCTTTGTTAGTCTTTGAGCCTTCTGAAATATTGGTTATGTTTTTGCATTAGAGGCCCACAAAATGTCCTTGCATCTGTGCTGGGCACTAGAGCACTATATAATGACCCTCTAGTTTGTGCTGCAGAGGACGGTGCATGCTGAGGGTGCTGTGCTACCCGCCAAGGAATTACTGGATGGGGTCCTCAGGGCATCGTGACCACATTACTGTGCAGCAAACTGCAGCTTGAGCAGCTTAGATTACTAGAGCAGAGCACTGCTCCAACACAGCTTTGTTTTCTTCAGTTCTAAAACCAGCCTTTGGGGGACCAGGGCTTTGGGGAGAGCCTCTGTGCCATGCTGTGTTGCCACTGCAATGCTGAAAACCAAACCAGGTTTTGTTACAGCGGCAGTGTTCGAAGGAATTCTTCTGTGAGCTGTGAAATTTGTTGAAAGCAGTGCCCATCAATTTGTGCTCTCGGGCTCCCCAGCTTCTTACCCATTTCACTTACCTCATGTTTCTGTTTTTCTATGACCTCCTCACCAGCCAAAGCGGCATGTGCTGTAAGGGACAAGAACATCTTATCACCCACCTGCTGCCCAGCAAAATATCCAACAGTTGAGTTCCGCCAGCCTTTATCTGAGTGCTCAGAGTTACTCAGGTCTCTCTCTAGGCCACGCTGATGTTCAGGACACTTCAAGGAACTTCATATTTCCAAGATCTGTAAAATAAATCTCTAAAATAAGACTGAGGTTCTAAAGTTAATAGCTGCCCATCTGTCATTACTCTTACTAATGCAGGTGCCTGTGCCTTCTTTCTTACAGGAAATCAGGCTAAATGAATTGGTGGGAACAAAAGTTTCTTTGATATAGCCATTTCCTCTTTTCAGGTACTAATAGATTTGAATCAAAATGAGAAGACATTTTTTTCAGGTGTGTAGTAATAGCATGAACTGAAATAATCCAAAAATGAATGCCTATTAAAAGTGATGAAATGCCGTAAAGTTCAGAATGTTCAATTTAAGATGTGACCGTTTTGCTGAAGGAAGCCTGATAAGAGTATTAGAGCAACAAGAGGGCACCAGGTCAAGTGCTTTCCGCCATGTCTTTCAGAACCAGCCATTAAAATCTCTTCGGAAGCTGTTACATCTGTCCTCCTCAAACCACCCTGTCCCCGCCGAGCCTCGCTTCCAGCCCTTGCCGAGTCAGCCAGCCAAAGCCTCCTTCTCTGAAGTGCGGATTCACCCCATGAGCCAGAGCTCCAGCAGCGGCAGCAGCAGCGCGCGGCAGGAGCCTCAGCCCAAGAGCCGGCCCACGCTGCAGCTCCCCGGGCAGCTGGAGCCCGCCTGGCACGTGGCGCCCGCGAGCAGGGGCGCCAGCGACGGGCCGCCCTACTCCGACCAGCTGCCTGCCAAGAGCGGGCAGAACGGGCCCGCGTACAACCGAACAAACCGAGCCCGCATGCCCAATCTGAACGATCTGAAAGAGACGGCCTTGTAGTGGCGCTCCAGGAGGAGGCCCGTTCCCGTGGGGATTGCCGCAGGGGAGTGGTGGTGGCTCCGGGGATGGTAAGACTGTATTTTCAGCTTTATAAAGGTGTGCAATAGGTACACGTGGAGCTATGCCGTTTGGCACCACAGTGAGAGTCAGGGATTATACAGTAAAACAAGTTGAATTATGAATTACCAGTCATCAGAAATGTCCTTGGATACAAGGCAGAGTGTGCTGTTCAGGGAGAAAAAGGTGTTACTGTTTTCTCTCGTTTACATTCCAGCTTCGTGCACATCTCTGTCTGAAAGCTGGGAGTCTTTTGGTAGGTATTGGCACTTATAAGGATGAAAACATTCATGTCTAGACCTATGCCCTTACTACATTTTTTGCTGCCTAGTTAAAACAGTGGGGTTTATGTGATAGAAGTGTATCCCTGTTAAGGGTTTAAAGCTAAATTGTATGTCTTAAATTTGTTTTTTAAACTACCATATTTGATAGGATTTGTAATATTTATTTATGATGACCTAATATCGTACTGTTATAATCATATCTTTTATGTTATAATGTAAAGTTATTTTGAGCTGTTTGAAACATTGTGAAGCAGTGCAACAGCTACAGTAGTTTCTATAAAAAAACCTAACAGTAACATTTATATATTGCATCAGGAGTATTTTATTCTATATATAAATATATATATAAATGGAAAATAACTGTCTGTTTTTTTAAAATATACTCATTTAAAAGAAAAGTATTGTTATGACACTATCTGCCATATTTTTATACATTTGTGATATAAAGTGCAGTATTATACTTCTAATAAAAGGAAGTTGAATGTGGATATAAGTGTGACTGTAACAGTATGAATCTTGCTCAGCTATTACAGCCTGGTATTATAGGCATTATTGGTAACAAACAAAAGACAACATTCAATTCCAAGCTTTATTAGGGGCGATTTTGTTGGAAGTGTTGGCTAAGTGTAAGAGACTGCAGAACTGTACAGTAATCCAAATGTTTTCCCCTGTATCCTTCGTTTTCCTGTTAATATGAATGGGAGTTTCGCATCTGCATCATGAGCATAGAGCCCCAGGACCAATTTCCTTTTCTCCAAACACAAAAAGTGCCCCATGGCTACAAGCTAAAGCAGGTGCTCTTCCACTTAATAGTAGGGTGAAGACCAAAGAACCATAGCATGAATTGCAAGTGAAATACCGCACTCTGACACTTACGCATAGCATGCCGCTGCACACCATGGTATAAGCTTTTATGTATATGTGTATTTTACATCTTGTTTAACAATCTATTAACTATTAAGAGGAACACTGTATTTAAATTTAAAATACTGTTGCACTTTTTTATTATATTTCAGGATGTATTTAAAGCTACCAATCTTATATTTGGATATTGAGGGGAAAGGTTGCCATGCAGCTTATTTTCTCCTTATACTTTGCTCTCAGAATATTTCAATGCACAGTGCAGTCTCCAGTCTCAGCAAAAGGACAGATCTTGGGTTCCAGTTTCCTGTAAAACATTGCTAAAACTGCCATTGCACTGGTGACTTTCAAGCGTAGCAAAGACACAGCCTGATTTCTCTTTTGCTACCGGTAAGATCTATCCCAGGGGAGTTGGAGGAGTCAAAGGAGTTATGCCAGTCTAGTGCAATAAGAGGAGAGTGAGGCCTGTAGTGTCAGAACAATACAATCTTTCCTTTTTTAAGTGTGTTAGTTCAACTCTCCCATTACTCTGCAGCATAGTTCATTTTATATACGATATTCTCATAAAGTAAATGTACTTGCAGATACAAGTGTGTTGTCTTTTCCAAGAAGAGATTAACCTGAATGTAAATTTGATGATTTAGCCATAGATAGAGTTAACACAAGCAGCCAGACAGTAAGAGCTGAAGTTCCTACTTGGATAACAATGCAAACTGGGCTGCTCAGTGCCTCTTGAATCATACCAAAGTTCTAAGAACGTTACACAACAAAATTGGCACCGCTACTACAAAAATCTTTGTCAAAAAGTACAGTATGAAAGTATGTCATTTCAGGTTTGTCCAGGGCAAAAAGTAAGAACTCTTTATTTGTGAATTGCCTGCAAGAAATGTGAATGTGGTTTTCTTATAGATATATATGATATGTTCTGCTTTTATGTATCATATATATCACATGTATAAATATAGTAGATGTGACAGGATGTCCATCTTTTTAGTAATGTCACTGGACATCCAAGAAACACATTGTGATGTTTACTGCGCATTATTATCACAGTATATTTCTTCTAACCTTTTAGAAATCTTTTGTGCATTCACCAGTTCATCACAGTTGGGTCAGTCCTGTTCTTGGTTCTGAACTGAGCTGATGCCACTGACATCCCTTGCAAAAACATTGTCTTTAGTTCCAGAGTGGGGCTCTAAGCAGTACTATGTGAATGTCTCCAACTGAGCATCCAGACTAGACTATTTTTCACTTTGTACATAGAATTCCTTTTGCCTCTACTACACTTTTACCTGGTTGGTAAAAGTTTCTTGCTTAGGATAATAATACTGGACTGTCTATAGTGGTTCTGGTTTCTGGCAGGAAAAATGCTTCCTAAGGATTTTTATTCCCCACCCTATTGAGTGAAATTAGAGTAATCTCTGATTGTACTTATAGCTATTTAAAATAGTTAACAGTGCTTCAATGGTCACCCAAGGAGTGTTCAGGCATTTGGTGGCCCATATTTACAGAAAGTTCTTCCTACTTCATAGTGCATTTTCTTCTCAAAATCCACAAACTATAATAGATTAAAGTTGAGTACTAGGTTGTATTGAACATATGTAATATTTTCTTCCTTCTGCTGGGATTTCCAGCAGCTCAGCCAACTGGTGCTGGGATAAATTGAGTGTTTTTAACCTGGTCTAACTATTTAGAGTGTTGCTAATGTAATTTTGCTGAGGCTTCTGAAGGGTCTTATTACAGTGACTGAGATTTGCTGACTCAAAAAAAGGAGAAGAGAATTACAGAGCTAACAATTTTGTAAGTGTGAGCTTTCTTCTTCGCTGGTTTGTGAGTCTTGTGCTATGTGTTCTATAGAGTTACTTAGGATAAACCATCTTAGACTGTATTTTATTCTTTGGTGAGCTGTTTTGCCTTACCATGGCATCACTAGTGATATGAATAGGAAAAAAAAAAAAAAAAAAAAGAAGACTAAGAAATGGATTATAGTCATTTTGCAGAACACAAACTGCCTGAACTTGTCTATATGTTTTTACTATTATTGAACTTTTATTACCTGAAAAAATGGCACCTTAAGTTCCTCTTGATTTAAATTATATATGTGTTTAATTTGTCCTTTCAAACTGCCATGAAAACGTGTTAGCCTGAAACATTTTTCAATAGCCCTGACCGCAGAGAACAGTCTCTTAGAGCCATTTGAAACATTTTGTTCCATTAATGCACTGCGAGGTTCACTGCTCCTCCAAGAGCCCACCAGGAGAGAGCTCCTGGCAGGAAACCAGCGATCCCAAGTTCAGTCCAGTCTTTCACATCCCACGGGGCTCAGGGCTGATACCAAACTTTGATTTCAGATACCAAGTCAGACCCACCTAGATACAGCTGTTCTGGTACAACTCTACACATACTTGCTCTTTTAGATTATGTTAAAGCAAGCCTCAAACATTGAGTGTCATATTACATCCTCAAATCATCTTCTGGCTTGTCACTGTTCTCTCTCCTAGACTGACTTGCTTCTGAGAGCAAAGATGGAGTGATTTGCTGAGACATGAAGTCATATGGTGGGCACTTGGCTTTTAGTCTTTCCTTGCTGTTCTGGTTGGGTGTCTGGTGGAGGATAAATCTTAGTGGTACAGACAGCTACAGGACCAAGTTCATTTTGTGCCCTTCAAAAGCTACTGTCTCTATTAGGTGATTAGACCGTTGTGTTCACCTGTTCAAGCTGTGTATTCTGCACAGTTAAGCTCTATAGACCTTCCCTGTAACAAAGGGAATAGTGATTACATAACTCTGAAAGCACTTTCATAATCTAAGGCAAAGCCCAGGCGCTTTGAAGGGAACCACGAGCTAGAAAGTTTTATTATATAGAAAGTTTCGTTTGTTTGTGGTCTTGAAACTATTTGGGAGTGTTAGATACTTTAAAAATATCTTCATCCAGTTAATTCTCTGTGTGTTGAATACTGCTAGAGTAGAAGAGGAAAACATATTTGAATCTCAATCAGTCACACAAAGGATACTAAAAGAATAGCCATATAAATATACCACTAAGTGTGGAGTGGCCATCAGTGTTTTAATTCCTTCCATCCCAAAAATACACAGTGAATCTGTTAATGGAATTGCATGGTGAAAAACACACAGCTGGGCTCTTGTAGCTTGTGCAAGTAGTCCCACCAGGTGAAATAGGATAAGAATGTCACAGTAGATGCTAGGAAAGGTAGTGCACCCTATTTAACCGTTTTTAAATAGCCTTCAATCAGGACACTATTTAAGATCAGGTGCCTTTCCCCCCACAGCTCTCCCTAATAGTGTCATGATATTAACCATCCATTAACTGAGGTTTGTAGTGAATGAGGAGAAAAGCCATTCAACTTCTAGCCTTTGTTAAACAGGGCAATTTGAGCAAACCCTTTTAATATAACCCAGCGTGGAAGCTTCCAGACGTTGGCTCCTTCTTCAAAGGATCGAACAGCACAGTGCATCATTGCTGAAGGCCTTCCAGGCTAAGGAAGGCTTGCACAGATCACATCATTTGGCCCAGACAATAAATTATTAAGGAAACCGCAAGATCTTTCATTCTGCAACTGCAAAAGAAATTTCATGAAAATTGAACAAAGCACCACATAAAATTTTATGGAAGATCTTTTAATCTGAAGAGAAAATCTTTTGGTGAAGGATCTTTTGCTTCAATGGTCTATTTTAATAGCTATTGTGAGAGACAGCAGATGTCAATTTGGTAGATGAAGTTTGAGCTAACCTGCTACAAATTCTGCTTTTGTTACGAGGGTATCCTTACATATAGCC